TTATACCAACCATAGTTGACATCAGTGACATGCTACTATAGAAAGCCGCTTGTTATACAGAGCATTTCGGGCAAATTAGGTTAGTTTTGTCCCCAGGATGCGACCCACACCAGTCCACTAACACCCCCATTTACTAACTTAATATTATAAGAGTGTTCTGCTTCCTCCTGACAGACTGCTCTCTCCCCTACGTCACCATGAACGCAGGAGGACGCCTGGGTAACAAACTCTGCCAATATATGTCATTAGTATTACTCAGGAAGACATTTGGTGTCCGGGTAAGTTCGACATAGTTCCTATTGTCTAGTTTATTATTCCTTGCTTTGCTAAATATAATTAATGTTTTCCAAGGGACTAGCAACACGCTGAAGGGTAAACATGATTTTGAACTGTCATACATTGTTGATATAAATATGCATATACAGCACATAAGGTATGAGAGATACATGTATAGTACATATTGTTACATGTTACACACACATACAAGGTGTTACACTCGTAGGAGGCCCCAAATAATCGTTTACTACAGGCATAATATATAAAAACTGTTGCAACTACTGGAGTATGAACTCAGAGTCTCTTCCGAGTTAAAGACCCTGTTGGATATATTTAATTAGGTATATCCTCATTCACTATCTCTTCTGCAGGCTGCCATGCTTGAGAAAATGAACAGCTCTCTCAGTCCTCATTTCCCCCAGCTGAGTCTGCCAGTTGAAGATGGCAAGTGTTTCCCTGGTTACACTACACAAGATATATACCACAACTTGTACATGAAGCTTGTGAATAGTAGCCGTCTGTGGCCGTATAACCAGCTGTATCACTATCCACTGAATGCATCCGTGTATGTTCTTAACAACCCGTGTCCTATACATTTGCTAGAGCCTCTGAGAGAGCACTTACGCCGGGAATTAGCTTTCCGAGAGGACATTATCAAGAAAGCTAAACAGAATCTCGACAAAGCTGTCAAAAGCCTACGGCTCAACACTACGGAAAACATTACCGTAATCACGGTCCACGTACGCAGAACTGACCACATAGATTTTATGATCAATAAATTCAAAATACAGCCACTGACGAAGATTTATTTTCAACGAGCGTTTAATATCATCAGGAAGACGTAAGTGGATCTAATTATTCATTAAACTGAATATACGAGATTTTTACATGAAACACCCTTAATATAGATCACATTTTTTGATAATGGTAAAATGGTGTGCAGGAGTAAGCTACCCATTTCTTGAATCTATCCCCATTACCTCCCATTCCCCAATTAGTTTAGCACTTCCCCATGAATATAAAGATAATAATGGAGATTACACCAAAAAATTATGTAATTTACGTAACTCTAAAGCAAAAATTGAATATTCTGCCCAAGGCATTTCCTTCATATACCATTTTAAATTGACTTCTTATTTATTGGAAGAATTATTTGTTGTGGTCAGGAAGTTTTCATCAATTTTAAAAGAAGTTTTATCCTATTCCACTGCTTTTAGATAAATATAACATTTGATTATATAATGACTGTGGCAGAGAAGTGGTAATTCAGAAAAGTTTTAAGCTGTAAAAAAATATTATACTACCTTTTACTCACATTGGAGCTTCTTTCTAATGCGTTTCGCCCACACTGGGACATTTAAAAGTCTGGAAAAATAAATTCCCAGCTAGAAGTGTCTAAATTTGTGTAATGGTGAGCGGCTGTTAGCCTAATGTGCCTGTGTGTTATAGGGTATTAGCCTCTCAGGAAGGTTTGAACTGGTGTAGTAACTTGTTGACTTGAGTACTGAGAGTAAGTCTTCTTTTGTGGGTGCAGGGGTCGAGACTCAGTTCTTGGCCCCGCCTCTTCACTGATCGCTGCTAGGTCCTCTCTCTGCTCCCTGAGCTTTGTCACACCTCGTTTTAAAGCTATGTATGGCTCCTACCTCCACTACATCACTTGCTAGACTATTCCACTTCCTGACAACTCTATGACTGAAGAAGTACTTCCTAACATCCAATGTGGCTCATCCTGTGTTTGTGGTGATATTAGCCTCTTAGGAAGGTTTGAATTGTTGTAGAATCTTGATGTCTTGAGCACTGAAAGTAAGTCTTTTTTTTTTTGATGACCTACAGTGTGGCTCATCCTGTGTTTGTGGTGTCCAGTGACGATCGTGGCTGGTGCTTAAGCAATATAATGGACAAAGATGTTGTTTTTGCAGGTAAGTAATGAAGCTTTATTGATAATAATGATGCATACGTGTCGTAAGAAGCGGCAAAACTGCCGGGAACAAGAGGCTAGTAACTCCTGTATAAATTGCTAAATGTAAATGCTTAGGTCACCCTGCCTCGGTGGGATGCGGCCGGTGCGTTGTAAATAATAATAGATTTTCCTTTTCTTTGCAAGTTCCAAGTTTTTATCTTAGATCTATCGATCTGAGCTTCCTGATCTCAGTTCTCTAAGTCTATGTCTTCTTGTTAATTCAAAACCACCTGGCTTAAGACTCTCAGATGTGAAACCAGGTGTCCACAATCCATACCAGAGAAAACCAACTTTCTGGGTTGATTTTGAGTATCAAACATGATAAGCGACTCATAGTTCGACATATCTCTGGTTTGATAGCTATTGTCGACATATCTCTGGTTTTGATAATCGCTATCGTCTGAGATTAACTTCAGATGTCTTGCCAGAAATTAATTTCCATTTGTGGGTTGTCCATTGATGTTGGTAGAATTACCGACAATATATTAGGTAAAAGGATACAAGTGCAACTAATGTAACATTGTGGCAACGTTTCGCTCTCCAGGAGCTTTATCAAGCCATAAAGTAACGGCTTGAGCGAAACGTTGCCACAATAAAATGTCACATTAGTTGTGCTTGTGTCTTTTTACTTAACATTTGTGGACTGAGCTTGAGATTTAGATATTCAGAAATAGTTAAGGATTAGTTAGATAAATGGTTCAGAGAACCGACAAGTTGATGAATTAGACACATGTGCAACACTTAGGTATCTTTACTGAGGAAACGTTTCGCCACATAGTGGCTTCATCAGTCTTATATAAAGAAGATGTAAAGTAAATGGATACTCAAGTTTCAACTGTATTGGACATGCTACTTGTGGCAACGTTTAAATTGACTCCAAGTTTTCAACCATTAAAACATAAGACATGGACACAGAGAAGGCTATCATCAGGCAGGTCAAGGTCCACTAGTTAGACCAATGCACCCAACTATCAGGTGGTCAGTAGTTAGTAGTAGTAGGTAGTAGTAGTGGTAGCGACCAAAAGTAATACAAGGTAGAGCAATTAATTCGTCATCGAGAAGGATATAAAAGCTATTACTTGGGTAACTAAAAAATAGGTTTGGACAAATATAGACTGGAATGAGCAGCTTGTTTCAGTGTTCTCACCATTCTTCTTTGTATTGGACTGATGAAGCCACTGTAGTGGCGGAAACGTTTTCCACAATTAATACCTAAGTTTTACACATATAACTTAAGAAATCGTAATGACACGATTGCAATAAATCCATACCCCCGGCCTGGATTGAACCCGCCGGTCATAGAGTCTCAAATCCAACCCGTCGCGTTAGCCACTAGACAGTTTCCACAATATGATTCATCAACTAGGTATATTTCTACCATAGGAAAGTTCACAGCACCTCTGTGACCAAAATGCCAAGTTTTACAGACGAATCTCCAGCTAGCGTGGCGTGACGAACTCTAGCTCAAAGTCCCTTCACTGCCGTCAACATGACTTAAGAAATGTAATGACACGATTGCAATAAACCATACCCGGCCGGGATTTGAACCCGGTCATTAGATCTCAAACTCAGCCGTCGCGTTAGCCACTGTACCAGTAGCCAACGGGCTGGAGTTTTGAGCCATCTATGACCGCGGGTTCAACCGGCCGGGGGTATGGTTTATTTGCAATCGTGTCATTACATTTCTTAAGTACATGTTGACGCAGTGTAGGGACTTGAGCTAGAGTTCGTCACGGCCACGCTAGCTGGAGATTCGTCTGTAAAAACTTGCATTTGTGGTCACAGAGGTGCCTGTGCTAACTTTCCTATGGTGTAGAAATATACCTAGTTGGATGAATCTTATTGTGGCTAGCTGGTCTAGTGGCTAACGCGACGGGCTGGAGTTTTGAGACTCTATGAACCGCGGGTTCAATCCCGGCCGGGGGTATGGTTTTTTTACACATTTATAAGACATAAGAACGAAGGAACACTGCGCAGGCCTACTGGCCCATGCGAGGCAGGTCCAAGTCCCCACCAGCTTAAGCCAATGCACCCAAACTAGTCAGGTCAGGTCACATTGCTTAAGGGAGGAACACGGCAACAAACGACCTGGTAGCACAAGTTTAGTCAGGTCCAACTCACACCCACCCACATCCACTCATGTATTTATCCAACCTATTTTTAAAGCTACACAACGTTCTGGCCTCTATAACTGTACTTGGGAGTTTGTTCCACTATCACAACTCTATTACCAAACCAGTACTTTCCTACATCCTTCCTGAATCTGAATTTTTCCAACTTAAAACCATTGCTGCGAGTCCTGTCTAGGCTAGATATTTTCAGCATACTATTTACATCCCCTTTATTTATTCCTGTCTTCCATTTATACACCTCAATCATATCCCCCCTAATTCTACGTCTTTCTAGAGAGTGCAGATTCAGGGCCCTTAGTCTATCCTCATAGGGAAGGTTTCTGATACATGGGATCAACTTTGTCATCCTCCTTTGTACATTTTCCAGAGCATTTATATCCATTCTGTAATACGGTGACCAAAACTGTGCAGCATAATCTAAATGAGGCCTAACCAAGGATGTATAGAGTTGAAGAACAACCTGAGGACTCCTATTATTTATGCTTCTTGATATGAAGCCAAGGATTCTATTAGCTTTATTGCGAACACTTATGCACTGTTGTCTTGGTTTCAGATTACTGCTAACCACAACTCCTAAATCTTTTTCGCAATCCGTAATATTAAGATCTACATTATTTAGTTTATATGTGGCATGGTTATTGTCCTGTCCAACATTTAGAACTTTGCATTTGTCTATATTAAACTGCATCTGCCACCTCTCTGACCACTGCATCAGTCTATTCAAATCTTCCTGGAGTGCTCTAATGTCCTCGTCAGAATGAATGAATTGGACGGCCTATTTTGGTGTCATCTGCAAACTTGCTGATGTCGCTCTTTATGCCCTCATCTATGTCGTTTATGTATATTGTGAACAGCAGGGGGCCCAACACTGACCCCTGTGGAACACCGCTCGTGACGCTTCCCCACTCTGATTTCTCCCCATTTATGCAAACTCTCTGCTGCCTTTTTGTCAACCATGCCTCTATCCAGGAAAAAAATTCTCCTCCTATTCCATGTGCCTTAATTTTCCTCAATAGTCTCTGATGTGGGACCCTGTCAAAAGCCTTACTGAAGTCCATATACACAATATCATATTCATTACCATGATCAACCTCCTCAAATACCTTAGTGAAAAAAGTTAATAAATTCGTAAGGCAGGAACGCCCCTTTGTAAAACCATGCTGAGATTCGTTGATTAATTTATGCTTTTCAAGGTGGCTACGAACTGCCTCGGCAATTATTGATTCCATAAATTTTCCCACTATGGAGGTTAGGCTTATTGGTCTATAGTTCGAAGCTAAGGACCTGTCACCTGTTTTGAAAATAGGTATCACATTTGCCATTTTCCACTTATCTGGCACCATGCCAAATAGTTAAAGATTACCGTTAATGATTCTTGTTTGTTATAGGTGGCGCTGATCCTGTGACAGACATGGCCCTCATGACCCTGGGTGACCATCATGTCATAACCTATGGTACCTATGGCTTCGTAGGCGCTTTCCTAGGAAGAGGAACCATCTTCTTCCCAAAAAACAAAGACTTTCTTGAGTTCCCATGTTTCAACTCGACCATTGTTCATCTAGTCGACAGATTTTAGTTTTACTATCAAGTTTGTAGTCATAAATAAATATATTATTTGTAATAAAGTTGGTAGAATTACCGACAATATGTAAAGTAAAAGGACACAAGTGCAACTAATGTGACATTTACTGTGGCAACGTTTCGCTGGTAATGGCTTGATAAAGCTCCTGGAGAGCGAAACGTTGCCACAATAAATGTCACATTAGTTGCACTTGTGTCCTTTTACTTTACAAATATTTATTTGTACAAGTACATGATGCAACTTATACAGACCATAGCTAACATCAGTGACATACTATATAGAAAGCCCCTGGTTATGCACAGCATATCGGGAAAATTAGGTTAATTTTGTCTCTAGTATGCGACCCATACCAGTCGACTAACACCCGGGTACCTACTTACTGCTAGGTGGACACAGACAGCAGGTATACACAAATAACCCGCACAGAAAAGAGAGAAGCTTACGACGATGTTTCGGTCCGACTTGGACCATTTACAAAGTCACACATGTGCGGCGTCTGGGTGTCTTTGTTGTGGACGTTTCGCCATCCAGTGGCTGGCTGGATGGCGAAACGTCTACGATAGAGATGCCCAGGTGTTGCGCATAAGTCTTAATTTCATCTTGTCGGTATTATATACCATTCTTTTACTACTACTACTACTACTACTACTACTACTACTACTACCACCACCACCATCACCACCACCTCTTCCTGCCTATATATAGCCGTCCTGCTCCACTTCTAGTTAGTGTGACTTTGTAAATGTTCCAAGTCGGACCGAAACGTCGTCGTAAGCTTCTCTCTTTTATGTGCGGGTTATTTTTGTATCGTTCCAGTCACGGTATTGTGCCTTTTTGTTATTTACAGCAGGTATCTTAAAGAAACACACTCCCACTGTTTACACCCATACCGGGAATCGAACCACGGATGCTTGTGTGAGCTAAGTGCGTTACCAACCCAGCTACGGGACACCATAAAGGTACCTCATGTATTCTTAGTGTGATATTTACAGTTACAGGCCTCGTAGGCCTATAATGAATTTCATAACCACGCATTTTTTGGCTGGGTAAAGAACTGGGGCAGTGACTACAATTTCTTCCTCTAAGCTCCATAAAGAAAGCATTAAAAAAACATAACTAAAAAATATATAAACAGGAAAAAGTTTGAAAGAGACAATAATATTTGTATCAAACCTGTGCTACTTGGCTTCTCACAAGACTGTGGCTTACCATTATTTACCAGGAAGACAGGCATGGCTTAAGCCACCCAGCATACATAAGGGGGATTACCAATAGACCCCTTTCAGTCTTCAAGCTGGCACTGGGACAAGCACCTAAAGTCGGTATCTGACCAGCCGGGCTGTTGCTCGTACGTTGGATTGCGTGCAGCCAGCAGTAACAGCCTGGTTGATCAGGCTCTGATCCACCAGGAGGCCTGGTCACAGACCGGGCGGCGGGGGCGTTGACCCCCGGAACTCTCTCCAGGTAAACTACTTGCTTCATCTACAGCCACGACTGATACCCCCGCTCTACCTAACTGTAACTTGTGACTGACTGAAGAATAAAGAGCCACAATACCGTGACTGGAACAATACACAAATAACCCACACATACCAGTGACTTACCATGATGTTTTGGTCCGACTTAGAACCAGAGTCGACGACTGATACTCTCATTCTAAAGTCCAATACTGTTAACAAATAGATAATAATAATAATAATAATAATAATAATAATAACAATAACAACAACAACAACAATAATAATAATAATAATAATAATAATAATAATAATAATAATAATTCACTTTGAAAATCTTAAAGTGTCTTTGACTTCTTTGGATTATTCTACTTAATTTTTATATATATTACTGTACTCGCCTAGTTATGGTTGCAGGGGTCGATTCACAGCTCTTGGCTCCGCCTCTTCACTGGCAGCTAATGAGTCACTCTTCCTGCTCCATGAGCTTTATCATACCTCTTCTTAAAGCTATGTATGGTTCCCGCCTCCACTACAGAGAACTTTCACGGCGCGCATAACGGAGATAAAACACCTCAATTACTGGGAGCGCTTGAGGTTCCTGAACCTGTATTCCCTGGAACGCAGGCGGGAGAGATACATGATTATATACACCTGGAAAATCCTAGAGGGACTAGTACCGAACTTGCACACGAAAATCACTCACTACGAAAGCAAAAGACTTGGCAGACGATGCACCATCCCCCCAATGAAAAGCAGGGGCGTCACTAGCACGTTAAGAGACAATACAATAAGTGTCAGGGGCCCGAGACTGTTCAACTGCCTCCCAGCACACATAAGGGGGATTACCAACAGACCCCTGGCAGTCTTCAAGCTGGCACTGGACAAGCACCTAAAGTCAGTTCCTGATCAGCCAGGCTGTGGCTCGTACGTTGGTTTGCGTGCAGCCAGCAGCAACAGCCTGGTTGATCAGGCGCTGATCCACCAGGAGGCCTTGTCACAGACCGGGCCGCGGGGGCGTTGACCCCCGAAACTCTCTCCAGGTAAACTCCAGGTAAACATCTGTGGAAAATTACATTTATCTGAATGTAACTAATTATGTACATAACAGTAAATGATAACAAAGATAATTATTATTTATCAATGTTACATAGACAAGTAGGAATTTGGGACACCTAGGTCGCAAAAAATGTTCCCCTTTGATACCTACCACTATCATATCCACAAGTTGCTCTGGACCTATTAATTAAATGAAATATACATACACCAAGAATACTGGTAAATATATAAATTTGTGGATTGTATATTAAAAATAATAAATGGTTATATACATACACAATTACATAACAGAAGGAAAATATATCTTAATATCACTCACCAATTTGACTGGAGATTAATGTGTATCATACTCAGAAAACCTCACTCTAACTAAATCTATGAAAATAATGCTGGCCAGAATTACTCACAAATCTAGAGAGCTTATCTGAGGTTCCTGGAGCTGTCTTGTCCAGTCGTCTGATATCTCAAGTTATGCAGGAATGCACATCCACCAATTTCGCCTCCTATTTGAGAGGTGTCAACACAATTTTAATCTCTAGAGCACGAAAAATTCTTCCCATTATACCAACGTTTGTACAAAATTCAAAACCAAGATGGCGAGTGTCGTCTGCGCAGACGCAGGCTTTCCGTTTTCTATGACATAAATATTATTAAATACAGTATGCCCATCTATTTACATATAAATACTGAATTTCTGGAAAATATATACAGTATTTTCCACAACATCACTACCCAGACTATTCCACTTCCTGACTACTCTGTGAGTGAAGAAATACTTCCTAACATCCCTGTGATTCATCTGATAATTTATGTAACTGGATTTATGCGTACCTGTACCTGAATATACGTACTGAATAATAAATGCAGGATTAATAAAAATAATGGAATAATCTCTGTGCCTTAATTATTTACATCTAAACAACAATAAGGTAGAAAATCGAAGTTAGATCTATATCCTCGCAGGATATATACACTGAGAGGTGTATATCCCTGGGTGTATATACACTGAGAGGTGTATATCCCTGGGTGTATATACACTGAGAAGTGTATGCCCCTGGGTGTATATACACTGAGAGGTGTATATCCCTGGGTGTATATACACTGAGAAGTGTATATCCCTGGGTGTATATACACTGAGAGGTGTATATCCCTGGGTGTATATACACTGAGAGGTGTATATACACTGAGAAGTGTATACCCCTGGGTGTATATACACTGAGAGGTGTATATCCCTGGGTGTATATGCACTGAGAAGTGTATACCCCTGGGTGTATATACACTGAGAGGTGTATATCCCTGGGTGTATATACACTGAGAGGTGTATATCCCTGGGTGTATATACACTGAGAAGTGTATGCCCCTGGGTGTATATACACTGAGAGGTGTATATCCCTGGGTGTATATACACTGAGAAGTGTATACCCCTGGGTGTATATACACTGAGAGGTGTATATCCCTGGGTGTATATACACTGAGAGGTGTATATCCCTGGGTGTATATACACTGAGAGGTGTATATCCCTGGGTGTATATACACTGAGAGGTGTATATACATTGAGAAGTGTATACCCCTGGGTGTATATACACTGAGAGGTGTATATCCCTGGGTGTATATACACTGAGAAGTGTATACCCCTGGGTGTATATACACTGAGAGGTGTATATCCTGGGTGTATATACACTGAGAGGTGTATATCCCTGGGTGTATATACACTGAGAGGTGTATATCCCTGGGTGTATATACACTGAGAGGTGTATATCCCTGGGTGTATATACACTGAGAGGTGTATATCCCTGGGTGTATATACACTGAGAGGTGTTATCCCTGGGTGTAATATACACTGAGAGGTGTATATTTCCTGGGTGTATATACACTGAGAGGTGTATATCCCTGGTGTGTATATACACTGAGAGGTGTATATCCCTGGGTGTATATACACTGAGAGGTGTATATCCCTGGGTGTATATACACTGAGAGGTGTATATCCTGGGTGTATATACACTGAGAGGTGTATATCCCTGGGTGTATATACACTGAGAGGTGTATATCCCTGGGTGTATATACACTGAGAGGTGTATATCCCTGGGTGTATATACACTGAGAGGTGTATATCCCTGGGTGTATATACACTGAGAGGTGTATATCCATGGGGGTATATACACTGAGAGGTGTATATCCCTGGGTGTATATACACTGAGAGGTGTATATCCCTGGGTGTATATACACTGAGAGGTGTATATCCCTGGGTGTATATATACTGAGAGGTGTATATCCTTGGGTGTATATACACTGAGAGGTGTATATCCCTGGGTGTATATACACTGAGAGGTGTATATCCCTGGGTGTATATACACTGAGAGGTGTATACCCCTGGGTGTATATACACTGAGAGGTGTATATCCCTGGGTGTATATACACTGAGAGGTGTATATCCCTGGGTGTATATATACTGAGAGGTGTATATCCTTGGGTGTATATACACTGAGAGGTGTATATCTCTGGGTGTATATACACTGAGAGGTGTATATCCCTGGGTGTATATACACTGAGAGGTGTATATCCCTGGGTGTATATATACTGAGAGGTGTATATCCCTGGGTGTATATACACTGAGAGGTGTATATCCCTGGGTGTATATACACTGAGAGGTGTATATCCCTGGGTGTATATACACTGAGAGGTGTATACCCCTGGGTGTATATACACTGAGAGGTGTATATCCCTGGGTGTAAATACACTGAGAGGTGTATATCCCTGGTGTATATACACTGAGAGGTGTATATCCCTGGGTGTATATACACTGAGAGGTGTATATCCCTGGGTGTATATACACTGAGAGGTGTATATCCCTGGGTGTATATACACTGAGAGGTGTATATCCCTGGTGTATATACACTGAGAGGTGTATATCCCTGGGTGTATATATACTGAGAGGTGTATATCCCTGGGTATATATACACTGAGAGGTGTATATCCCTGGGTGTATATACACTGAGAGGTGTATATCCCTGGGTGTATATACACTGAGAGGTGTATATCTCTCGGTGTATATATTCTGAGAGTTTTTTTAGGTATTGAAGTATTTTGGTGTGGTGGCGGGAAGGTTATGAACAGCCTAAATGACCATGGTGTAGTTGACAGGCTTGAAACCCCGGCTAGCAAGCCAACAAACTGCGGCAATTGCAGCAGTGATAC